CCTCTTGGAGGTCGCTTGGGCCGTCTTGGGGCGATCTTGGAGGCCTCTAGGGCCGTCTGGGAGCGTCGGGAAGCCGAACTAGCGAGAACGCCCAAAACCGTTAAAACACATAGGGAACACAACTGACTTTGCCATCTTTAGGCCCTCGTGGGAGGACTCTTGGAGGCCTCTTGGGGCGTCTTGCAGCGATAGTTCGGCGACTCGAGGCCGTCTGGGGCCGTCTTCGGGGCCTCTTGGAGCCCTCTTGGCCTTTCTTGGGGCCCTCTCGGGCCCTGAAAAGTCGTGCGACAAGACGCGATAAGACGCGGCAAGCCTGTGAGAATTGAGAATGTTGGCTCCAGGCCCCTAAGAGTTTCCTTAGGGGAGAGGACTGAGGTTCATAGGATTCGGCAAAGGACCCGAGGCCACGCCCACTCCGTGCCCAGAGGCATTGTGGCGGATGATGTGGATAAGGAGGACAGACGTTGATGAGAAGGATGAGAATGAGGAGGGATGGTGGAGGAGGGGGGGGATGACTTGGAGGAAGGGGGAAGAGTGAGGTGGGGGGAACGAGGAGTAGGACGGCGAGCGTCGAGGATCATGAGGAGGGAAGCGAGGTGATTAAGCCAGAGAAGGAGAAATATGAGGATGATGAGGAGGAGGAGGAGGAACGATAGGAGGGGAAGGATGAAGAGGAGTAAGAGGATGAGGCGGAGGAGGAACGATAATCATGTGGAAGAGTTAGAGGAGCAGCAGCAGTATCAGCAGAAGCATACAGGTCATGTGGCTAGGTGGGAGGTCGCGGCTGCTACACCTTCGCGACTGGTTGCGTCTACGAGGGCGAGTACCGGGACGACCTCAAGAGCGGCAAGGGCGTGTTCACTTGGCCCGATGGCCACCAGTATGAGGCTTGTTGATGCCCAGAGGGGCAAGAGGAGGATGGGTGTGGAGGAGGAGGGGGAGGAAGGGAAGGAGAGAGGGAGGAGCAGGGGGGGATGAAGGAGACGAGAAGAGGAAGGAGAGCAGGGAGTAATCAAGAGGCACTCAGTCAGCTCAGGAGTCTAGGGCCACCTCTGGTCCCTCGTCCATCCATCGTCCTCCTGCGGGCCGCGGGCCTGGCCGGCCGAGCTTGTTGGTCGGGAGTTGGCGCACACCCCCACCGCCTCCTCGGCCTGCTCCTCCTTTTCCTCCTCGTCCTCGTCCCCCTCCTCCTCCTCCTCCTCCTCCTCCTCCGCCCCTCTCTTTCTGACGTTTTTGGGGTACGAGACGGCCTATAGGAGCTGACGAGGGGCCCCAGGCTCAATGGGAGGCCCAAAAGGGTTCCCTCCGCATGTCTTCGCATGTCCTCGAATGTTTTCGACTGTCTTCGAACGGCTTGGCATCGCTCGGACGCGTGCATTCCTCCTCGGCCAGGACCACCGAGGAGGAGCAGAGCGTGCTCGTCCAGAACCCACCGAAGGGCGCGTAACCCTCGTGCACCGTTCTGGTCCTTTGCGAGTAGGGGAACGCGCTCGTCCAGCAGCATCCCCCGCCTCGATCCCGGCGCGCCCCCCGCCGCCAGGGCGAGTGGCGCGGCGGCAGGCAGCACGGCTCCGGCACCATGACGTGGCCGGCGAGGGGAGGCGCGCGGCGGCCCGCCCCGCCCCGCCCGCGGCCCTCCGTGCCCCCTCGCCTCCCCCGTGGCGTCCTCCCTCCTCGTCCTCCCCCCCCCTCCTTCCCCAGCCTTGCCTGCCCCTCCTTCCCCGGGATCTCCTCGTCCTCCTCCTCCAGTTCTCCGTCCCTCCTCGGCTCCTCCTCCTCCTCCTGCTCCTCCTTCTCTTGTTCCTCTTCCTCCTCCTTCTCCTCCTCCAATTCCTCGTTCCATTATCATTTGCCTCCTCCTCCTCCTCCCCGTTTCCTCCTCCTCCTCCTCCTCCCTCCTCCTCCTCCTCCTCCACCTCCTCCTCCTCCTCCTCCTCCTCCTCCTCGTTTCCTCCTCCTCCTCGTTTCCTCCTCCTCCTTCTCCTCCTCGCTGTCTTCCCCCTGTTTCTCCTCCCAATCCTCCTTCTCCTCCTCCTGCTGCTCCTCCTCCTTCTCCTCCTTTCTCCCTCCCATCCTCCTCTCTCCATCATAGTCCTTTCCCCCCCTATCGCCTCTTCCTCCTCCTCTTTCCTCCCTCCTCGCTCCCCCCGCACCGTGCTGCCCCCTCAGCGCCGAGGCGCCATCGCGCCGTCCACGCGTAGCGCTGGCCCAAATGCCGCAGAGTCCTCCTGCCGCCTCTCATCCCTTCGCTTCGCTCCTCCTCCTGCTCCTCCTCGACGCCTGGAGGCGTTGAAGGCACCGCCTTTCACGTGCGTAGACCACTCCCCAGGGCGCCCAAGAGGGCCCAACTATTGCCCCAAGGAGTGCTCAAGAGGGGGAACATGAACCAACAAGTTTTGCTTTCCGCCCCAAGGGGTCCCAGGAGGGCCCAAGAGGGCCCGAGGGGCGCCCACTAGGCCCCAAAAGGTTCCCAAGAGGCCCCCACGACGCCCCAGAGGGCCCCAAAACGGCCCCCAACAGGCCCAACACCGGCCTCCAACTTGGGTCGGGCGTAACCCAGCTAAAAGTGGCGCTACCTAGGTGTTAAAGATATCGTATATGGGGGCCACAGGATGGGCACCAGATCGTCGCCGTATGGAAGGCCGCGGTGACATCGCCAGGCTGGCGCGAGGAGGCCCGGTTCCAACTCGTGTTAGATCTAAAGAAAGGATGGGAGGAGTGGGATGAAGGAGGAGCATTTGGAGGGAGGAGTCAGATGCGTGAAGCGGCAGGAAGGAACATGAGGAGATATGCGGGGGAGGTGCCATCAAGAGAGGAAGGGCCCCTTGAAATAATACAGAAATCTTGCCAGGCAGCATTTGGCACTCTAGCACGCTACTGCCGTACAGGCTGGGGGGCGGATTTGTATGAACTCATAGCTTAGACGCAATCCCGCACAGGCGTGCTCCAGAAAAGGGCCAATCCCTTCCTCGGGCGGCGGTGACAACGACGACAAGATCTCTCGTTGTTTTCGGCCTTCGGAGGCCGCTTTCGCGCCCCAGGCCATCACAACTAATATATGGTGATAAGTTTGCCCAGAATGGGTCCTGGAGCCGATGCAATGTGTGCACACCCTCACACATATATTGATATAGACATGCACTGAGATGATCATAAGGTTTTCGTTGACCTGCTGGAGCCGTCTTGGAACGTTCTTGGGGCCTCTTGGAGCATCCGAGCCATCTTGGAGGCGATCTTGGGCTTTCCAGCGCGCCGCGAGCCCCCCCTTCCAGGTCCAGGGGAGGGGGTAGGGGGAGGGGTCAAGTCACCCGCTCCCCGCCCGCAAGCCGTCTCGCTCACTCCCACCCGCCCTCCCAACACATACGTAGCACCCGAGTCTGGCCCGAGCCTCAGCATATTCAGCAGTCGCCTTTGACTGGGCAGCTACTGGGGGCCAATCCGCCGCCGCTGCCGCCGCCGCCGCCGCCGCCGCCGCCGCCGCCGCCCCCCCGCTGCCAAACCGCCGCCGCCGCCGCAGCCGATGCCGCCACCGTTACCGCCGCCGCCGCAGCCGCCGCCGCCGCCGCCACCGCCGCCGCCGCCGCCGCCGCCGCCGCCGCCCCCCGCTGCCAAACCGCCGCCGCCGCCGCAGCCGCTGCCGCTGCCGCCACCGCCGCCGCCGCCGCCGCCGCAGCCGCCGCAGCCGCCGCCACCGCCGCCGCAGCCGCCGCAGCCGCCGCCGCCGCCAAGTGTAGTCTGTATTGTTTTTTGGCAGGGATGTTGGGGGGTGGGGGGGCGCATCGGGTTGGCTGCGCATGTTCCGAATTTGGAGGCAGAGTGTGTTTTGTATTGTTTTTTACAAGGGATGGTGGGGGGGGGGTCGGCATGGACCCTGGTTGGCCCCCAGTCGCCTGGGGGAAGGGGTGTTTATTAGTAGGGAACAGTGATAAACCCCTCTCCGAAGGGGAAACAGGGGGTGGAAGAGGTAACTTTCTAGACCACCTACGCCTAGAGGGCCGGTGGGATAAGCCAGCGGGCTTGCGAAGTTGGTGCATTTGGCGAGTCACGTGCTTCGAAGCGGGTTCCCCGTCGAGGGATGGGCGTGCGCAAAGACGGAGTACTTAAATCTGTACCGCGGGATTCTGGAAGCCAAGAAGAGTCCCGCACCGGCGTGCAGGGAGCAGGGAGGAAAACGGAGGAGGAGCAGGAGGAGGACGAGGAGGAGGAAAGAGGAGGAGGAGGAGGAGGAGGAGGAGGAAGAGGAGGAGGAGGAAAAGGAGGAGGAGGAGGAGGAGGAGGAGGAGGAGGAGGACGAGGAGGAGGAGGAGGAGGAGGAGGAGAGGGGGAGGGGCAAGGGCAAGGGCAGGAGGAGGGTGATAGTTCCTGTTGCCCCACGTTTTTTCCCAACCAACCTGTGTTGTTGGGCCCTCGTTTTTGAAGAGATGGTCCCCGCGTCTCCTCCTCTTCCTCCTCCTCCCGTGCCCCCCCCCCGCCCCCAATGGGGTGTACCACATGCGTCCGCCACACCCAGCACGGCACTTCGTGGCCCCATAAGAAGGTCCACCTAAGGCCCCAGTGGTGTGTACCACATGCGTCTCTCCCACCCAGTACAGCGTTTCGTGGCCCCATATGGAGCCCCACCGAAGGTCCCAGTGGAGTGTACCACATGAGTCCCCCCCCCACCCAGTACAGCGTTTCGTGGCCCCATAGGGGTTCCGCCGAAGGTCCCCGAGGCGCAGTCCGCATGCGTTTCCCTCACCCAGTACAACGTTTCGTGGCCCCATATGGAGCTCCACCGAAGGTCCCCGTGGCGCAGTCCGCATGCGTCTCCCCCACCTAGTACAGCGTTTCGTGGCCCCACAGGGGCTCTGCCGAAGGTCCCCGTGGCGCAGTCCGCATGCATCTCCCTCACCCAGTACAACGCTTCGTGGCCCCATATGGAGCCCCACCGAAGGTCCCCGTGGCGCAGCGCAGTCCGCATGCGTCTCCCCCACCCAGTGCAGCATTTCGTGGCCCCACATGGAGCCCCACCGAAGGTCCCCGTGGCGCAGTCCGCATGCGTCCCCCCAACAAGAACAGCGCTTCGTGGCCCCATTAGGAGCTCCACCGAAGGTCCCCGTGGCGCAGTCCGCATGCGTCTCCCCCACCCAGTACAGCGTTTCGTGGCCCCACAGGGGCTCTGCCGAAGGTCCCCGTGGCGCAGTCCGCATGCATCTCCCTCACCTCGTACAGCGCTTCGTGGCGTCATATGGAGCCCCACCGAAGGTCCCCGCGGCGCAGTCCGCATGCGCATCCATCGCCCACTGCAGCGTTTCGTGGTCCCATATGGAGCCCCACCGAAGGTCCCTGTGGCGCAGTCCGCACACGTACCCCCCAAACCAGTACAGCGCAGTCCGCATGCGCTTCCCTCGCCCAGTACAGCGTTTCGTGGCTCCATATGGAGCCCCACCGAAGGTCCCCGTGGCGCAGTCCGAATGCGTCTCCCCTACCCAGTACAGCGCTTCGTGGCCCCATAGTGGACGCCGCTGAAGGTCCCAGTGGCACAGTCCGCATGCGCGCCCGCCATTCATGTCGGGAAACCCCTCGCACGCTTCGTGGCCCAAGATGGGGTCCGCCGAAGGCCCCAGTGGCACAGTCCGCATGCGCCCCCGCCACTCATGCCGGCCCACCCCATCACACGCTTCGTGGCTTCATAGGAGCTCCGCCGAGGTCCCAGTGGCACAGTCCTCATGCGTCCCCGCCATTCATGTCGGCACAACCCTCACACGCTTCGTGGCCTTATAGGAGTTCCGCCGAAGGTCCCAGTGGCACAGTCCGCATGCGCCCCCGCCACTCATTTCAGCATACCCCATCGCACGCATCGTGGTTTCATAGGAGCTCCGCCGAAGGTCCCATTGGCACAGTCCGCATGTGTCCCCGCCATTCATGTCGGCCCACCCCTCACACGTTTCGTGGCCCCACAGGAGCTCCGCCGAAGGTCCCAGTGGCACAGTCCGCATGCGTCCCCGCCATTCATGTCGGCACACCCCTCGCACGCTTCGTGGCCCCATAGGAGCTCCGCCGAAGGTCCCATTGGCACAGTCCGCATGCGTCCGTGCCATTCATTTCGGCCCACCCCTCACACGCTTCGTGGCTCCATAGGAGTTCCGCCGAAGGTCCCAGTGGCACAGTCCGCATGCGTCCCCGCTACTCATTTCGGCACACCCGTCACACGCTTCGTGGCCCCATAGGAGCTCCGCCGGAGGTCCCAGTGGCACAGGCCGCATGCGTCCCCGCCATTCATACCGGCCCACACCTCACACGCTTCGTGGCCCCATAGGAGCTCCGCCGAAGGTCTCAGTGGCGCAGTCCGCATGCGTCCCCGCCGAAGGTCTCAGTGGGGCTGGCAAACATATCTTTGCTGGCCCACCACTCCTGGCACCAGCCGAACGCCACAGATGCTGACCCTGGCGGATCTGGCGCCGAACTCGCCCCAACGGTGCCCAATTCGACCCACTGCGCGTCGATCAAGAAAGATGCCAAAAATTGTAATGCGCCCGGCCTCGGCGGGCAGTGTCACGACATGTCCAGGAGGACGGGGGAGGGAGGAGGGGATTGGGGGGGCGAGGGAGGAAGTAGAAGAGGACGAGGAAGGCAGGAGACACTGTCGACACTAATCAGCAAGAGAAGAGACATCGCGGAAGGGTATGCCGCACATCTCTTTTAGTATCGAGCGCTGACGCTGCCAGACTGACGTCGGACGCATCGTGGGCCACTCCGGCCCTGGAGGAGAAGGAGGAGGAGGAGGAGCAGGAGGAGCAGGAGGAGCAGGATGAGCAGGAGGAGGAAGAGGAAAAACAAACAATGGTCCCGGGCCCGGAGGAAAAAAACGTCGTGGGCCACTCCGGCCGTGGAGAAAACACAGCTGCAGCGCGGAGGAGCGGAGCACCAGTGGAAGCACGAGCGGGCCAGAGCACCAATGGAATCGCGAGCGCGGCCGAGAATCAACAGGGGGGTCGGGGGGGTTACGGGGGAGCCGAGGGAGTGAGGGTGGTGGGAGGAAGATGAGGGGGGGGAGGGGGAGGAGGAGGAGGAGGAGGAGGTAAATCCCTCCACGAAGGGGAAGAAGAGGGTTGGAAGAGGAAACTTTCTAGACCACCTACGCCCAGAGGGCTGGTGGGATTCAAAGGGGGGGGGCCAAGGCCACGGATTGAGACCAAGGGTCGCGGGATCTCGGATTCGAGCATTTTCCCACATTATAATCGCGATGCCAGGCTCAGGGCTGCATGTTGTTTTCTGTCCCATTGAGCGCGAATTGTCGTCGTACTCGTTCATCCTCCCCCTCCCTTGTGCCCTCTCTCATCCCCCCTCCTTGCGAATGTTCTTCTCCTTCTTCCCTCATCTTCTCCCGTTGTGCAATCCATGGTGATGTTCAGCGGATTGGGCCCTCATGCGGGCGGCCCGACATTTGCAGACACACAGATGCCCTTTGGCAAGGACAAATGAACAGAACACTGCAGCTGGACAACCTCATACCTGATGCAGTCCCATCCATTTGCTTACATGCTTCAGGTGACCCACGATCAGAATAGCAAGTATCATTTCGCACAATCGACCCGTGCACGCCCCATCTGTTCCCGTCATTATGGCCCGCGCTTTGGCATTGGAATCTGATGACCAACGTGCGCCTGCCAACTTTCGTTTGGTAACCGTCCGGATTTTGCCAGGTATGCGGTGGCACAGCGCTACCCCCCAAGGTATAGTCGGTCAGCGCCCGACCCAACCTCCAACCCCCGCGATGCCTCCCTCGACATCCCACCGAACACCCAATAGGCGTGTGTCCCATGACCCAGGGACGGTGGAGGGATGGGCCGAAGGCCATTCTGGTTTCTTTCGCGCACCCCCTACGCTCCTTCTCACCATCATTCCAGTGGCCTTCCCAGCTTCTACCTTTTTTGCGCTCCCCCGTCTGAAGATTTTTGAATGGTTCCACCGGGGCTTTGCAGCCTCATCGGGGTTATCCTGGAACCCTCTCGTGGCCATGTTGCGCGCCTTCCCGGGGCCGTCCTGGGTGCCCGCGCGATCCTTCCCAGCCCCGCCTGCCCCTTCCGTCGTCGATGGAAGAGCAAGTCTGGGAACTCGAGGCGCCCCTACTGTTACATCGCTGCTTGTGTTGTTTTGCGCAGGGCGCTCTCATCGCCACAGCCGGTCTCACGGCCGTTATCGTCAGAACGCACTGGAGAAGAAGCCCCAAGACTGGCGCAGAGGCCCTCGAGCTCGCCCCAAAAAGAGGAGGAGGAGGCCCTCGAACTTGCGCAGAGGCCCTCGAACTGGCGCAGAGGCCCCCAAAGAGGAGGAAGAGGCCCTCGAGCTCGCCCCAAAGCTGGCGCAGAGGCTTCCAAGACCGAGAGCGGGTCCTGGGACACTTCGGCTACACGTAAGAGTGACCCTTCGCCAGAGTGACCTTTGGTGCGCGCTCACCAGGGTTCTCCAATCGCCGCGCTCGGCGCGACATTAGCGTCTTGCGCTCTTGTGTGTTGGCCTCCTCGCGCCCCCCAAGGAGCCGCGCACCAACGGTCACTCCTGCCCAGGGTCACTCTTACGTGCAGCCGAACACTCCCCAGGGTCCAGGCGCACCGGTTGTTCGAGCCGCGTCCAGCTGCGGCGGCGGGGAGGCCCCCGGAGAAAGCCAAGAGAAGCCTCCGCTGGGCGCTCGGGGCGCTCGAGCTTCGGAGCTCAGCGCGGGGGGGGGGGGGGGCTCAGGGGCCCGCTCCGAGCGGAGCCTCGTGTCGGGCCGGGGGGCCCGCTCGGCGCGGACTCCGGGTCGGAGGGGGTGCCGTTTGCGGCCGCCGCTCCCCTCTGCCGTTCCCGACCTCGCCCTCCCGAGTGCGGCGCTCGACCCGTCAGGATCGAAGAGGGGGGGGATTCTCCGACGCTGGTGACGGCGACGAAGGTGTTCCGAGAGAGGCTATGTTTCAAAAGTCGTCCAGGGTATCCCCGTTGCCGCCATCTCTTCTGGGCGTTTCGCGACGGCCCAGGAGGCGTCCAAAAGGCCGCAGCAGAACCCAAGAGGGAGTCAAAACGGCCCACGAGCCTCCCAAGATGGCCCAAGTGGCCCCGAAACGGCCCTACAAAGGAACCTCGACACGCCATCATGGCTTCAAGGGTGGCCAAGAAGACTCCAAAACACCCCGAAGATGGTGACGTATCCTTCCGAACAATCCACCCCGAAAATGCCCGCCGATAGAGCCACACAAAGAAATGATGGATTTGCTAAATGATTTCGACAACGAGTTTCACATTGTCCCCTGCTCCGCTTCCCCGACGTTCTGGGACTACCCAAAAAGCTCCCCAGATTGCTCAACGTCGACCCGAGGGGCGTACAATGGGGGCCCGGAAGCACCCCAGGATGGCGCCAGGACGGCCTAGGAGGAGCCCAAGACAGCCCAGAAGGCTTCAAGACGTCGTTCCAAATGAGCTTGAACACCCCCGTCAAAACGGCCCCAAAATGAGCTTCGACACCATAAGAAGGCCCCCGCCAAGGCCCGCGCGAGGGCCCCAGCATGGCCGCGATCAGCATTTTCCTGGAAAGCCTGAAGGGAACATGATTGTCGCCACCTGTCCGAGGAGGAGACGGAGGAGGATGAGGAGGAAGAAAGGAGGATGATGAGGAAAAGGAGGAGGAGGAGGTGGAGGTGCAGGAGGAGGAGGAGGAGGGAGGAGGAGGAGGAGGAGGAGGAGGAGGAGGAGGAGGAGGAGGCCTCAGCCGTTGTGGATCCCCTTGGGGGAGCATTTCGTAGAGGAAGAGAACGGAGGAGGAGATGGAGGAGACGCGGGACGACCAGGAGGGGGAAGAAGCAGAGCACGCCTCCAGAGCGGACCTCTTGGGCGCCCTTGGTGCCGCAGGGCTCCATCGATCCGCCGCCCCCGCGGCGCCACCGCCGCCGCAGGCGCGCCGGCGAAGGCCGAGTCCGGCAAGTGGGTCTCGCCGGGTGGCGGCGGGCGGCTCCCGCTGCGAATCGATGCCTCCTCCTCCTCCTCCTCCTCCTCCTCCTCCGGCTCCTCCTTCCTCCAGGTCCCGTTTCCTCCTCTCCTGTCCGCCGCCTCCTCCTCCTGCTGTCCTCCTCCTCCTCCTCCTCCTCTTCCTCATCCTCCTGTTCCTTCTCCTTTCTTCTCAGATGGGGTCGGAGGATCGCACCGCATCGCCGATGCATCGGCGTCGATGTGGAGTCCGATTTTCTCTCCACGCCGACGGCGCCAATGCATCGTCGACGTCGCGGGCGCATCGTCAATGCATCGCCGAGGCATTGGCGATGCGGCGCGATCCTCCGACCCCATCTAAGAGGCCTCTCATGAAGCAACAAGCTGGGTCTTGGTGGAAGTGGTCCTGGCCCGAAGATGCCTCAGCCTCAGTTTACCCTGGGTAGCGCGGATAGCTTCCCGAGCTCCCCTCACGAGGCCCCGAGAGCCTTAGAGCCGCAACGCTGGCGTGAAAAGCTGGGAGCACCTTGGGCCAAAACCGCTCCTGGCAACACCCGGAACGGATCCTGATGGAAACGGGTCCTGATTGTGTGTCGCCTGGGTTCGCCCTTTTTGAACCTCCTTGGACCCTCCACGGGCCCCAGGACCGCCTGAACACGACTCCTCACGAAGGCCGGGTCCTGGGGGAAGGCCTCAGGGTCCAGCCCCCTTCATCCTCCTCCTCCCCCTTCCCTCCTCCCAGGGGCGACACCTCCCGCTCCGAGGAAGACTTGCCACGGCGGGACTCGGAGTAGGAGGAAGCTCAGGAGGGGAACCAAACACACAGACACAGTTCATCGTCCATTCCCAGGAAAATATGGGAAAATATGGGAAGTGGGGGGAAGACAAAAACCCAGAAAATATTGAAACGTAGGGGACATCCTGTTATATGTGTTCATTTATTTGTGTGTGTCCCAAGGCCCCTTCAGAAGCGTGCAAGCAGACTTGTTCGGAGGCCCGCCCCGATGTCGTGCGCCTGCCCCGGGCCCCCCCTGACTGCGCCTGCTGCGCAGCCTCCCGCGCGCTCCGCGCGACAGGGAGGAGGGAAAGAAACACACAGGCACAATTCATCGTCGATTCCCCAGAAGATATGGAAAATGTGGGAAGTGGGGGGGGAGGCAAAAACCCTGAATATATGGGAAAACATGGGGAATCCTTTCATTTGCGTGTATTTCTTTGTGTGCCCTGGGGCCCCTTCAGACAGGGAGGGAGGGGGGGGTCCAGGGCCGATGCACGACAGCCGCGCGGGCTCCGCGGAAGATCTCAGCCGTGCAGCTCCTTGCTCGTCTGGTGGAGGGCAGGGGTCCTGAGGGGAAGGGGTCTTGCAGGTGTGCGCCGCGTGCTGCTCCCTGGGCCCTCCACGGGCGCCGGGGCCGTCCATAGGCGGCGCAGGATGAAAGGTTGGTCCCAGTGAACATCCCTGAGATCCTGGACTCATCCTCCTCCTCCTCTTCCCCCTCACTTCTCCCCCTCTCCCCCCGCCTTCTCCCCCTCCTCCCCCTGCTCCCCCTCTTATTCCTCTTCCTCCCGACCCCTCATCCCTGTTCCTCTCCCTCCTCATTTCCTCTCATCCTCCTCCACCTCCGAAGTTTTCTGTTCTCCCCTCCTCCTCATAAGTCTTCTCCTCATCCTCATTATTCCCCCTTCCCTCATTGCTCTCCTCCTCCTCCTCCTCCTCCTCCTCCTCCTCCTCGTCCTCCTTCATTTCTTCCTTCGTTCCCTTTTTTTCCTTATCATCACTGCCCTCCTTCCCCTCCCATATCTCCTCCCCCATCCTCCCCGTTTCGCTTCAGCCCGGTACGCTTCAGCCCGTCTCTTCAGCCCGCTCCAGGACTCGCCAGTGCCGGACATCGTCTCCCTACTGCGCCCGGCGACTACGCTGACGACAGCGACAGTATCGACCACACCGCTCCGAGCCAAACTGAACCTATCCAACTCTTGGCGGACACCAACATAGTTAGACTCATGACTGAAACATCGGGACTTACTTATCTTGGGCGGGTACCGCGCCATGCCAATACGACGAGGTGGCACCCACACGGGAGGAATTCAAAGCGGAGCATAACCAGGAACTCAGAGTTGGCACCAGCCGAGCCTTTCAGACACCCTCACAGACGACTGCCCTCTACTTGTCCCCAGAACGAGACCGGCCGTTGGCGCCAGAGGCCTCGACGGATGGACTTCCAAGAACGACCAATTTGCTATAGACAAATGCTTTGAGTATTTCGTCGCCGACGTCTGTCAGAACCTGGCCCGTCATGCCGGCTGCCCGCGTGACCTCGTGCCCGCGAGGCGCTATCTTCACGACAGCCATCCGCAACAGACGTGCCTGCTCACGGATACCTCCAAGGCAGCTCCTCTTTGGCAGACATCATGCTATTCATGTGCGTCTGGACCCGGCGGCAGCACGGGCACGTACCGCGGTCGGTCACTGAGGACAGTAATCCAGCGACCCCTGCGGCACACGAGTTGCGGGCTTCTCTCGTCCAGACCGTGTTGTTCGACAAGTTGTCATGGCAGAAAATCCACCCCGTCAAGGTCGTTGGTTGGGTCCTGGGAGAAGAACTCAACCGCCTGGTTGCGGTCTTTCGCGCGAGCGAGCACCCACTCAAATCACAGCATCCGGTCATTTTTGCGGGGGGCTATACAGTCAACGCGCACAGGAAGGATGGGCAATATTCCCAAGCGTACCTTTTATCCTTGTCTCCTCGGTCCGTCTTTCGCCACTTTCGTTGGCCGCGTCCCGCCCGAAAAGCTTTTTAATGGGCGCCCAAGGCCCTTGCATCCTTATCGCGCATCTCTTCGACGGTAGAGTGAGTAATGGCTGGCGTTGTTTCATTCAAAGCCGCCCTGAGGGGATGCGGACTCATCTCGATCTCAACCCTTCGTTCCGGGAGTGTGGAGGAACAAACAGCAATTTCTTATCGCGCATCCTTGTGATGCGGCCCGAATTGCATCAACGTTGCTTTCGAGGTCGGCAGCCCCAGCGCCAACGTCGAGGCTACGGCCGACGCCAGGAGTGAGAAAGGATCTCAAGCAACTCCCGCGTATTACGGGGTGGCTACCCGCAGGCACTCCAGCGAGAGCGGGTTTGGTCGGGCCCCTCGTGGCTAGCATTAAGTCGAGCATGTCCCTCTACAGGAGGAAATTTGCGAAATAAACGAAAAATAGTCTGGGTAGATGCTTCCATTATTTTGGCACTATGTGTGCTTATCTTTTGGCTTTTCTTGATTTTTCGTTCAAAATTCGCCTGTAGGAGCAAATTCCCGACCGAAGGCTAGCATGTGCACCGCGGGAACGGACATCCAAGCACTCAGTGTAATCTCAGGAACATGTGCGACAACACTGCCTTCTCTGTCATGAGGTTCGAAGGCGGTCCTGACTGTCACATCATGCGCTATACGTTTTAGTGGTCCCGGGGCACGCTCTCGAAGGCGGCCACCACCACCACTAAGCCGTGCATTCGGTAGGACGCGTGGGCGGAAGAGCGCGCAATTGGCGACTCTTCAGAAGAACTGCGACAGAAAGCGAGAACGCTGAGCGCCCCACGACTGTGAAGCAGGCAGCGGAGCGCAACGCGACTGAGAAGCAGAAGATGGAACACAATACTGCTCCGAGGTACACGTACAGGGAAAAGGGAAAAAACAAGGCGAGGGGAGGAAGACAAGGACGGGGGAGGTGAGGCTTCAGATGTGCTGCGTCATCTCGTACACTTGGGAAGCCCACTGCTGTCTGGGCCGGCCGCGCCGCCGGTGTTCCACCCAGTTGCGTGGGGTACCGTCCAGATTACATAAACATTGACGTACCAAGGACGAAGGTGCACTGGAAGTGACACGGATGTATAGTTTGCGTTGTTTGTCAAGTAGAAGCTGCGATAGCGGTTTGGCGCCCGCTTTTTCCAATACGCTCGAATTACTTATTCGCGAGAAGAAAGAGTGCAGAAAGGCGGCGCTGCCACAAAAAACGCGGCGTTAAGGAGGCTTAGAAGGCAAATGCGGAGAGACATCGGTCTCACCTCCAAAGCCGCAAGGGCACACAGCCATGCACAGTTCTTCCACGTGGGGTGGACCTCTCCGCAGAGCTTGGCAAACCGTTGCCCAACTCCACTTGTCATTGCCCGATGTCAACACCATGCGCGACGACTGGGGCACCCGTTCGTCCTGGGTCCACGAGCCAGCCAGTCTCTTGACCCACGTGTTCAGGCCACGCGGCAGAGATCTTCCTCCGACGACGCACCCCGACCACCAGGCATGATCTAGGCACCGTCGCCGCCGCCAAGCACTGCCTTGAGTACTCTACCGCCGCGTGGCTCCTCAGAACCACAGGCGAAGCCAAATCTGGCAATTCGGCTTCCTCTGCAACAATCCCTGCGGGGCGACCACACCCCACAGGGGAAAGTCGTGGCTGGCATCTCGGCTTACCCATCTCCCCTGTGCAGAGCGTGCGACCAAGAAGACGAAACTTAAGATCAAGCCGTGTGGAGATGTCCGTGTTTGGAAGAACAGAACGCCGCTCTCAAAATAATGATCGACGAGTAGCAGCGCGGCCTTCTCAAGTCTAGATGAAGACCCCGCCTTGCTCGCCCTGCAAGCTGCCTTGGCTGAAGACCAGCTCCCACAGCCCATCCCGAGACCACCTAAATGGGACTCACATGACGAATCTCGCCAAAAGTTCATCGATGAACACGGAGCCGGAGGGGGTACGCGGAGATTGACGGGCCTTGATCGCACCAACCCCGCTCCTTCTTGGCCAGGGCTTGTTTCGGGGTGCGCTGACGGCCTGACCACCAGCCAAACCAGTCCGCCCGCTCAGACGGTCTAGCACAGTCCGCGCAACGGGCAGCACCCCCCGCCATGCCTCTTCTGGCCGCCACGGCCGGAAGGCCAGCACACGTCTCCGTGAACGACCAGGCGGTCGTCGACGGTTTCCAAGACCTGTTCAGAGGAAAACCACCACAGCGTGTGGGGGAGCACGCCGATCTTTGGCAGAAAATCCACCGGGTGCTCCAGGCGAAACCATTCATGTTCAAAAACGAAAACATGAAAAGCCTCATGGGGGAGCAAGGCATCAACGATGGGTGTATCATTCAGATGGCCAGAGCTGTTTAACCGCCGTGTGGATGAAATCGCCACCTCCGCAACGAGGCCCCGCAACATTCCACAAGCCGTGGCCGACGCCGCAAAGTGCCACCACAAGTTCGCCGCTGTCTTCCACACCGCGGCCGTCGCCACTTACGACCTGCGACACCGGCGCTGCCGCTCCCCCACAGGAGAGCGGGGCATTCCAAGTCGGAGCTCTCCGAGATGGCGCCGAACCCCCTCACCATCGGCCAGGGGGGGGGGCATGTCCCAGGCGCACCAGGAGGACCACCTCCCGTTGACGGGCCACCAGGGCCCGACCATTTCGACGAACTTAACGACCCTTGGCCCCCACCCACGGACGAATTCGAACGCAAGGACTTCGACCCGCTCGGGCCCGGAGCTTCTCTCGACGACGACGGCGACAGTGACTTCTCCTCGCGCACTCACCCCTTTGACCGAGACAGCGAGGCCGTGGACCACCCCGTTGGGTCGGCTGACGCCCAGGGGCGTCAGACCAGGAGGGCCACCCACTGCGCCCCAGGCGGCCAGCCCTCCCAGTCCGCCCGCCAGGGCTCCGACGGGGGCGGCCGCGAGCCCACCAGGCCAGCGGGGCCGCCCAACCCGCGGACCGCAGGCGAGCACTCGCGCAGCACCTCGCGGCGACGAGTGGCCAGCAACGGTGAGATCACGAGACCCACGCGACCGCCAGGCTTCAGGCGTCCCATCGCCGAGCCAACCGGAGGGAGCACCCCCTCCAGCAACTGCAGGGCACCAGCAGCACCGCTGGTGGGCAGGTTCCACCGGGCGCAGGAGGCCTGGAGCGGCCTGCCAGGGGCCTTCCGGCTTGCAGTCGCTAATTCAGGTGGGCAGCCCTCCAACCTCGAAGCTTTCTGCGGCGCTCGACGGGCGGCACAGCGCTGGCGCCATTCTCCCTTCCCACAGGCCACGAGCACAGTTGGCACCTGCACCGTCGTTCGCCGTCCCTGGTCCGCTGCAGGGTACGCCCCACAGCGGCGCCTTCCAGTTCCCACGGTCGCCGGGGTGCGCATGCCAAAGCGTGCTGAAAATCTGCGCCCCTCTTGTCGTCACGGGGGCGCAGACGGGCCCAATGGCGGCGCCGCCCGCCGTTTTTTCCAGACGGGGTCCCTGTGACCCTGCCAGGGCCCCCTGTTACATATGCGGCGCCTCCTGCTAATGCGAGGGCGGCATACCAGGCGGTCGCAACCCTTGGGCGAGCGGCGACGGTCGACGCGCGACCCGAAGTGTTGCGATTTCTTCAGCCCGCTGCTCCTTCTGCTCTCCTGCTTCCCTCCTCCCTTCCTTTCCTTTTTTCCTCCGTCCACACATCCTCGCTCTCACTTCCTTTCCCTTCCCCTCGAAGACGCAAAGCGCGACTGCAACAAGCATCTTCGCATCCCGTGGGTTTGCCACGACCAGCAACGTACGATTTCGTGCAACATGAACTCAATTCCATGACTTGCTGCAGAAACCGTGACTTTGCATGTTGGGGTGCCCCCGTCAACCAAAAGAGACGTGGACGATGGTACGGACATGGCGCAGGATGATGGAGGGCCCGAGGAATGCCAGAGGGCCCTTGGCCGTCATAGAAGGTGCACGAGGGTTCTGGATAACGGAAAGAGCGTGTTCTACCGCTGCTGGCGGAAAACCGGGGGGGGTCACTACCGGTTCGAACCCCTCCCCCTCCCCCCCCCCCCTCCTGAAAACCGGGGGGGGTCACTACTGGTTCGAACCCCTCCCCCCCCTCCCCCCCAGTTCATCATGAAAAGGAGGGGGGGTCACTACCGGTTCGAACCCCCCCCTCCCCCCCCCCCTCGAAAACCGAGTAGGGGTGCGGACAGTGGTGGGGACGGTGTTGGTGGGGACAGTGGTGAGGGGACAGCGGGACAGTGGTGGGAACAGTGGGACAGTGGGACAGTGGTGGGGACGGTAGTGGTGGGGACAGTGGTGGGGACAATGGTGGGAACAGGGGGGACAGTGGACAGTGGTGGGGACGGTGGTGGTGGGGACAGTGGTGGTGAGGACAGTGGGAATGAGGTGGAAACAGTGGGATAGTGGAGGGTACAATGGTGGTGGGGACAGTGGTAAAGGCGGTGGCGAGGACGGCGGTGGGACAATGGGACAGAGGTACAGTGGGGACAGTGGTGGGGACAGTGGGGACAGTGGTGGGAACAGTGGGACAGCTCAGTGGGACAGCGGAGGAGTCAGTGGGACAGTGGGGACAGTGGGGATAGGCAGTGGTTGGGTCCGTGGAGACAGTGGGGAGAGTGGAACCGTGGTGGGAACAGTGGTGGGAACAGTGGGGACAGTGCGACAGTGGTGGGGGCACTGGTGGGGACAATAGGGACGGTGGTGGAACCAGTGGGGACAGTGGTGGTGAGGACAGTGGTGCTGGGAACAACAGTGGGGGATGTGATGCGAGCGGTGGTAGGGACCGGGAGTCGTTTGCTGGCGGTGCGTGGGGGGGGGGGGGGTCGAACCGGTAGTGACCCCCCCTCCGGTTTTCGAGAGGGGGGGGGGGTTCCAACCGGTAGTGACCCGCCCGCTTTTCCGGATCCGGAGGGGGGGGGGGGGGGGGGAGGGGTTCGAACCGGTATTGGCCCCCCCGGCTTTCGAGGGGGGGGGGGGGGGGGGGAGGGGGGGGGAGGGGGGGGGGGAGGGAGGGGTTTTGCCGGGGGGGAAGGGGGGGTGGGGGGGGGAGGTCCAGCAGGGGGGGGGGATTTTCGGAGGGGGGGGGGGGGGGGAAACACCCGGGTTCCGGAGGAAAAGGTTGGCAATTTTCCACAGTAAAGCGGCGGTGGATCACGCTCTCTCGGATAACGACGACGCCGATGTCGACGATAATACATACACTGTCAAACGTGAAGTGGACAGGCAGTAGGAGGAGGAGGAGGAGGAGGAGGAAAAGAAGGAGGAGGAGGAGGAAGAGGAGGAGCGGCGGCAGATGTTGCAGTGGCGGCAGGCTGCGGCAAGCAGAAGCGGCGGCATCAAACACGGCGCACGTGTGCAGACGCAGCAGGAGAAACGGCAGAATGACTGGCAGGAGATGAGGGTGAATGAGAATGTGGAGGCAGGTGGAGTGGGAGGAAGAAGAGGAGGACGGGGGACGATAGAAGGAGGAGAAACGAGATGTCGGAGAGGGATGAGGAGAGAGACGCACTGCCGCGGGGTGAATCGGATGAGAGCTTCGATGCTGAGGACGAGGATGGGGATGATGATGCGTGGAACAAGGATGGAGGGTGAAGAGTTATATGTTGAGCATGTTTGCGGGGGTGGATCATGATGACGAGGCGGAGCTGGTGGAGGAGGAGGAGGAGGAGGAAATGGAGGAGGATGAGGATCATCATTGGCCGAGTTGGTCACGATGACGAGGCGAAGACTAAGAGAGGAACGGCGTGCAGTAGGAGGCGGGGGGCGTGGCCAGGACGAGGACGAGGAGAAGGAACACTAGGCGGTGGAGGAGAGGAGGTTCGGGAGGAGGAAGAGGGGATCATGAGGGTAATGGGGAGCAGGAGGAATGAGAAGTTTGGGCACGGGGGTCGAAAGCAAAAGGAGGGGACGGGGGGGACGGGGGAGGCGACGAGGAGGAAGAGGGGAAGGGACAGGGGAAACAGGGAGGGGGGCCAAGGTCAACGGCCGTCGCATCATGGAGGGGGCGCCCTACATGTCGCCCGAGCCGTCCGTCGCAGGGTCGATGACGGGCCGGACTCGGGAGACTCTTGTTTCTTCCCGTGCCCCCCTCTTTTTTGGCCCCTCTGCTCTTCTCCCTGCCTCCCCTCTCCACTCCCTTCTCGAACCTCTCCTTCTCTCCTCGGCCTCTCCTTGTCTCTTCCTCCTTCGCTCGTCCCTCTCCGTCGTTCCTCCCTCTCTGCCTCTCTCCTGTCCTTCTCCTCCCTCTCCTCCTCTCCTTCCCTCTCTCCCCTCTCCCTCTCGTCCCTCTCCTCCTCTCCTCACCCCTCCCTCCCCCAGAGCACCTGCCCTCCAGATGCAGTATGCCTCCCCCTTTTCTGAGCAGCGGAGATGACGCTCCCAGCTACCAAGCCCGAAGGGCCTGCTCTGGGAGTCCCCAGCTGCCTTCCGAGGGACCTAATTAGGCGGATCCATGTCGATCCTCCTCCTCCGCCTCCTCGGATACATGTCGATCCTCCTCATCCTCCCCGGCCGGCCCGATACGATTCGATCCTCCTCCTCCTACTCCTCCGCCTCCTCTTCCCCCTCCTCCCACTGCTGTTCCTCCTCCTCCTCCTCCTCCTCCTCCTCCTCCTCCTCCTCCTCCGCCTCCGCCTCCGCCTCCTCCTCCTCCTCCCGATTCGATTCCGATATTCCGACGATCTGGTGCGGCCAGATGTCTGCAGGACGTTGCTGTGCATCGTGGCGCGGCCGATGCTCACCGCCCAGCAGACCACCCAGCAGACCACCCCAGCCCAACCCAAAGGCCTCGATGGCCCTCCATTTCCAGTGAGAGCGGCGGGGTCGGGGAGCATTGAACAAAAGAAACATCTGAAGCACACACACCCCCCTCGAAGACGAAATTCGTAGCCCCACCAAGCCGAAATTCGGGTCTTCGGGTTGGGTTGGGGTAAGTAGTCAGATGCTGTTCGGTTTCGATTCCGTGCTGATGCAGCCCGATCCGATGCACGGTTCGATACAGTCCGAGTTGCCGATTCGATGTTGATCCAACTTGCTTGACGGTTGTTGCGTGGGCCTCTCTCTTCGCCGCCTTCCCCTGTTGCGGCCGAGCATCGGCCACGCCGCCAGAATACCGATGACGAGGGCGACGGAAGCCCTATGGCACGACGATGAGGGTGCGGAGGCGGGGAAGAACTTTTTGGACCCAGCCTGGCGTGACAACGACTGTACGCCGTCAGAACGCAAAGGATGCGGGTGTGGGGTGCCGCACAATACATGTCGGCCGTCGGAAGTATGCATTTCTGGGCTCCCAGATCCCAATCTACTTCAAGCGCCTTCCTCCTTCAATAATCGATATGCGGTTGCTGTGTTTTGTTATTTTCTGGAAGAGCCTGAACCTGGATGAAGAGGAGGGCCGGCGAGCGAGAACGGCGATCGTGTGTCTGCAGCTTCGCTCCCATGCCGCCTAGTCTTTTTCGATGGCTTAGGGCCCAGGTCTGCGTCCCAGCCTTCCCCTCTCCTCCTCGTCTTATTCCTCCCTCGCTCCCTCTCCGCCCCTCCACCACAGTGCCCAGGCCGTAACAGCAAACTCCTCTAGCGTTTGCCGGCCAGGCTGCCTATTGTTGAGGGTGGGGGTTCAACGTGGATCGGGAAGGGAATGCCGTGCGCAGGTGCGAATGTCAATGTTCCTCCTCTGCCGCCGGCCGCTTTGATGCCCACCTGTCTTGGCAAAGAGCATCCGCGTGGTATTCCCAGTTGCGGCTACGCCGTGCCTCATAGATGCCAAGCTGAGTCGTTGTCACTCCCGGGCGACTTCGAGTAGGGAACGCGGTCTGCGTCCCAGCCTTCCTCCCTCTAGCTTGGCTTTGGTCAACTTAAGCATTTTCCCTTCCTCCCTCCGTCCTTCTTCCCGAGTGCCCTGGACAGGCACAGCGAGTCATCTGTCGCCGCCTTTAGCGTTTGCCGTTCAGTTGCCTATTATGGGGGGGGCAGTGAGGATCGGGGAGGGCCTGGACTCCTTGCTTCGGTCCAACGCGGTCCGTCCGCTCTGTCGCGGGGGTCCCATCGCACTGTACGGTACTTGCGTTCTTGGTGCCCGTGCAGTTGTTTCAGCACTTTCGTTCAGCCAGCTTGCCTGCCTGCGCTTTGAATCCATCTGCTAGCCGAGGGTGAGTTTAGGTTTGTTGGTGGGGACGAGGGTTACATTGCGGAGTTGGTGCAGGCACGGGCCGCAGGTCGAGCGTACGAACATCGTGCACTCCCGCAGGCCCCGGCCTGCGCCAGTCCACTAAGCTGGATTTCGGCCCTTCGAAGGCCATTTCACCGGCTCCCCTTTTTGATATGCCTCCCCTTGCCTCCTCCCTCCTCCTGCGGCGTTGTGATGCGCCCCGAGCGTTTTCAGACGATGATGAGGGGGGTGGTAGGACAGGACGGGGGCGGGGAGATTCACCAAACCTTGGCGCCCGTGCTGCGTGTACGCAGTGTTGCAGCAGCTCTTGAGTGCCGCACTCAGCTGACCGTCTCCTCGGCGAGTCAGAGCGCAATCCAAGATCCCCCCCCTCCTCCTTCCTTACTCCGTCCCTTCACTCGTCCCTCCGCCCTTCCCCCCCTCCTCTCCGCGCCGCCCCCCACCGCTCTGCCGCCGAGGAGGCCCGCGGGGACGGCTCTGAGACCAAGAGCGTCGTGTCCCCCTCGCAGGAGACCGCTCCGCGGCCCCTCCGCGGTGGGCGGGAGAGCGGAGGACGGCCAGCGAATGGGGAGATCGCGAACGACTTCTCGCCCGGAGGGCGCTTTTCGATACTCCTGGGAGACAGCGGGCGTTACCAGGTGGGGGGGGGGAGGGGGAGCGGGCCGGCAACGTCACGTTTCGCGCTACGCCGTTTGGGAACGTCGACGAATATTGTAGTGGCTTCCGGCCAGTGCCGCCGATCCAGGGCGCTCTGGGTGCCTGTGGAAACGAACGACGACGAGGAAGACGAAAACGACGACGAAAACGAATACGTCGACGACGACGACGACGAGAGCGACGACGACAACGACCACGACGACGACGACGACGACGACGACGACGACGACGACGACGGCGATGACGACGACGGCGACGCGAGCGACGACGCGAGCGACGACGACGACGACGACGACGACGACGACGCGACGACAACGTCGACGACGACGACGACGACGACGACGACGACGACGACGACGACGACGACGACGACGACGACGACGACGACGACGACGACGACGACGACGACGACGACGACGACGACGACGACGACGACGACGACGACGACGACGACGACGACGACGGGGGGGGGGCTGGGTTGCAGGGGGGGGGTCTGCTCTGCAGGGGGGGGTCCGCTCGGCAGAGGGAGGGGCTGCAGGGGAGAGGGGGGTCCGCTCTGCAGGGGGGGGGGCTGCAGGAGGGGGGGTCTGCTCTGCAGGGGGGGGGGTGCAGGGGAGGGGGGGGGGAGAGCATGTTACGCATGGAATGAATTCAATGAAAATCAATTGCAGTGGATCCGTGAGTGGATCAATCTTGATTGATGAGGCTATGATGCCTCTTTTGATTTTGAGCCGGCTATGATACCCGCTCGTGCCCACCCCGTCCCGTCTTCAGGGACCTCGCATCCCCCTATGATGGTAGGATGGGAAGACGGGCCGCCGCCCCTGGCACTGCACGTGCGGTGCCAGGTTTGTGGGGATGTGGCTCGACCCCCGCAGTTCCAATGATGGAAACTGCGAGGGGTGTGAGGCCTCATGGTGGTCCTCACTGGTAAGGCCTATGATGGTCCTCACCGGGGGGGGAGAGGGCAAGGGCGGACGTCCACCAACAACGTTCGTCGTGCTCATCCTCCATGAGGTCGAGGTGCTGCCCGCACTGCCTGTATCGCGGCTCGGATGGGGTGGATACCAGAAGGAGGAGAAGGAGGAGGAGGAGGACGACGACGAGAAAGTTGAGTTCAATGAGCAAATTGAGCGCGAAGGCCTATGATGGTCCTTCTTCCCAAAACGAGCCTTGCTGATGGCCCCGAGTTGGGTGCGAGGTGCCTATGATGGCCCCTCTGGTTGCCTATGATGGCGGCACTGGACGACCGGCAGGGGACTGGGTCCCGTTCACGGTCCATTAGGGGAGAGCATGCTACGCATGGAATGAATTCAATGAAAATCAATTGCAGTGGATCCGTGAGTGGATCAATCTTGATTGATGAGGCTATGATGCCTCTTTTGATTTTGAGCCGGCTATGATGCCCGCTCGTGCCCACCCCGTCCCGTCTTCAGGGACTTCGCATCCCCCTATGATGGTAGGATGGGAAGACGGGCCGCCGCCCCTGGCACTGCACGTACGGTGCCAGGTTTGTGGGGATGTGGTTCGACCCCCGCAGTTCCAATGATGGAAACTGCGAGGGGTGTGAGGCCTCATGGTGGTCCTCACTGGTAAGGCCTATGATGGTCCTCACCGGGGGGGGAGAGGGCAAGGGCGGACGTCCACCAACAACGTTCGTCGTGCTCATCCTCCATGAGGTCGAGGTGCTGCCCGCACTGCCTGTATCGCGGCTCCGATGGGGTGGAGACCAGGAGGAGGAGAAGGAGGAGGAGGAGGACGACGACGACGAGAAAGTTGAGTTCAATGAACAAATTGAGCGCGAAGGCCTATGATGGTCCTTCTTCCCAAAACGAGCCTTGCTGATGGCCCCGAATTGGGTGCGAGGTGCCTATGATGGCCCCTCTGGTTGCCTATGATGGCGGCACTGGACGACCGGCAGGGGACTGGGTCCCGTTCACGGTCCATTAGGGGAGAGCATGCTACGCATGGAATGAATTCAATGAAAATCAATTGCAGTGGATCCGTGAGTGGATCAATCTTGATTGATGAGGCTATGAGGCTCTGCAGGGGGGGGGGGGGCGTGCAGAGGAGGGGGGGGGGTCGCTCTGCAGGGGGGGGGCTGCACCGGGGAGGTCCGCTCTGCAGGGGGGGTCTGCTCTGCAGGGGAGGGGGTGCAGGGGAGGGGGGGAGGGTCTGCTCTGCAGGGGGGGGGGGGGGGGGGGGGTCCGCTCTGCAGGGGGGGGTGGCTGGGCTGCAGGAGGGGAGGGGGAGGGCGCTCTGCAGGGGGGGGGTCCGCTCTGGAGGGGGGGGTGCGAAGCACTGAAATAGGTCGGAAATGAGGTCCCCCCCCCCTGCGAAGCACTGAATTAGGTCGGAAATGAGGTCCCCCCCCCCCCGCAGAGCGAAGCTTGAGCGAGCTCAAGCCCACGCTCTCAGAAACTCACCCGCCGGATCGGCGGATTTTGCAGAAAGACAGCAACTCCCAGGAGGAGAAAAAAAACACACAGACACAAGTAATCGTCGATGCCCCAGAAAATATGGGAACATATGGGAAGTGGGGGGGAGACAAGACCCAGAAGATATGAGAAAACATGGGGGATCATTTTATTTGTGTGTATGTATTTGTATGTCCCAGGGCCCCTTTTCAAACTCGGAGGTCAGCACGAATCGTGGCGTTACCTGGGGGTGGCGGCCGGGGCCCGTGACGGCCGCTCTCGCGAGGCATCGCAAAAGCGCTCTCCTGAGAGCCGGGCGCCGCGCCGTTGTTTCACACTGGGCATGTGCGCCCGGCGTCCGCCTGAGGCCCCGCCCGCCTTTGCCCTGTCTCCCCAATGAGAGCTGCGCGTAGCCCGCCCAGCTTTTACCCGAAAAGGTTCGCTCTCGCCCCGCAGACCAAAAAACGTTCGCCCGGCGTCGTCGGGCCCCGGCATCATCGCAGATCGATCCAGCCACCATGCACCCAACGTATTGCCAACTAGACAGGGCAGAGGTTTCTCTTCGCCGTTTGGGGCCTCCCGCGGGCACTCGCTGAGCCCCTTTTTCTGACCATCGCGCCAAGGCTCGGTAGGAGGAGCTGGTCCCGTGGGGGAAGGGGTCCTGGCCTCGGGGGGGCCCCAGTCAGTGTGGCAAAAAGCACGACGTCGGGCTTTTGGGGAGGGCGCGGGCGAGTTCTCTCTCTCTCTCTCTCTCTTTTGCTCCCTCTCTCTCTCTCTCTTTCTCTTTTTTTATCTTTTTTTTTGTTCTCTCTCTCTCTCTCTCTCTCCCTCTCTCTCTCTCTCTCTCTCTCTCCCCCCCCAGTCCACGCAGTCCCCACCCAACACAGTGGACGCTCAGAGAAGTACGGCGAGCTCGGGGATCTACCCGAAGGGGGCATGCGAGGGCGCTCCCCAGCCGAGGATGGGCGCCCCCTCCCATCGTGTATCCCCGAGCTGGTGCCCAAACTGCTGGTCCAGTCGGAAGTCGTGAGACAGGAGCGGGAGAGAAGCGTCGGAGAAGAAACATCGAGACCGCCAGGGGCGGTCCACCGCCGACCCAAGGAATCGACATAGAGATACAAAAGAGGAAGGGGTGGATGGGTGAGAGGGCCCCAGGGGGGACAACATGGGGAAAAGGAGGAGGAGGAGGAGGCGGACGAGGAGAGGGCGGACGAGGAGAGGGCGGACGAGGAGAAGCGGTGGCAGAGGCGGAGGAGGAGCGGGAAGGAGGAGGGTGAGCAGCAGAAGGGAGAGGGAGGAGCATTGAGGGGGAAGTAGAGGAGGGGGCAAGCCCTGGACGAGGCGGCCTGATTAGGCTATGGACCGATGACTGGCGTCTCGTGCGCGGTCGTCGTATAGGCGGCCCTACGGGCAAAATCAAGGGGAGGGACGAGGGGAGCAGATGTAGAAGGGGCGAGGACTATAGGGGGAGGGGATCGAGAAGCAAGAGGCAGCGCGAGTCGCGGAACAGCGACAATAGTTGAAGCCATTATCGACGGGAGAGGAGTGATGGCAGTGCAGAAAGGGTAAGGGGGGGGGTGGGGGAAGAAGGAGGCAGGGATGGGGGGAGGAGGGCAGAAGTCGAAGAAGGAATGTTAGCCAGCGCGGACTCCAACCAGTCTGTTCTAGCATACTATGTATTGCAGTCGATGTGGTACAAACTCTGTGGTGCAATATGTGTGGTGCCATATTCAATACGTGTTGTGCAAGCTATGTGGTGCAATCTATGTGGTGCAAGACATGCAATGAAACATGACGCAGCGCAAAGCAACGCAACGCAACGCAGTGCAATGCAACATAATATCAAGCATTGTCGAGCAGTGCAAGGCAATGCAGAGCAGCGCAGAGCAATGAACAGCAATGACAAGCAATGCAACGCAACGCAATGCAATGCAACGCGATGCAATGCAGCGCATCGCAATGCCAAGCAATGCAAATCAATGCAGAACAATGCACACCACGGCATAGCAATGCAAAGCAATGCAACGCATTGGAACATCAATACAACGCAGTGCAATGCGATGCGATTGCAAAGCAGTGTGATTACAATACAATGACGTAACACAATACTAAGGGACGAAAAGCAGCGCACAGCAAAGCAGAGCAATGCAAAGTATTGCAGCGCAATGCGATGCAATGAAATTCAAGGCAGAGTGATGCAGGGCAATGCAAAGCAGCGCGAAGCAATGCAAAGCGGGCAGCGACGAGGCGGCGACGCCAGCCACTTGGCGGCCAGAGCGGCCCGTAGGCCCAGGCGACGGGCGGCGACGAGGTTGCGACGGGGCGGCGACGGCGGCAACATAGCCGCCAGACGGGCACCCAGGCCCAGACGACGGGCACCCAGGCCCATACCGTAGCCGCCACACCGGCACCGCCACCCAGACCCTCTCCTCCTCCTCCTCCTCCTCGACCTCGACCCTCTCCTCCTCCTCCTCCTCCTCCTCCTCTTCCTCCTCCTCCTCCTCCTCCTCCTCCTCCTCCCCCTTCTCGACCCTCCTTGTCCTCCATCCTCGATCCTTCTCCTCGATCCTCTATCCTCCTCCCCGATCCTCGATACTCCTCCTCGATCCTCGATCCTCCTCGATCTTCTTCCTCGATCCTCCTCGATCCTCCTCCTCGGCCCTGCCCAGACTGGCGAGACCGGGTCCTTCCACTCCGTCCTGGAAGTGCTGGACGACCCCGAGGCCGGCCGGGGCTTCGTCGTCGGCCCGCGCGCGCCCCTTCGATGGGCATGTGACGTTTTCTTCTTCTGTTGTCTTCGGCCTCCCAAGTGGGGGTCCAAGTAGATGGGGTCGAAGGATCGTGCCCGGCGACGGGGGCGTTCGAGGTTTCGAGGCTCGAGTTTGAAGGCTTCCTCGAGTTCTCGTAGGCCCGCGGCGGCTGTCCAGCGTTGGGACGCCCACCAGCCGCAGCGCCTCGCCGAGGGCGTTCTGGGGGTGCCAAACCCGTCCCGAACGGCCGCCTGAAAGCCGAGCTATGGTCCGAAAGCCACCGGGCACGGCGATGCGGCACGATGTGGATCCCGATTTCCTCCACGCCGGCGTCGCCGATGTACCGCCGACGTTGCCGACGCATCGCCGATGCATCGGCGATACATCGCCGATGCAGTGCAATCCGCCGACCCCATCCACTCGGACCCCATCTACTAGGAGGCCTCTGGTCGTCTGGTCTGGTTGATCCTCAGAGATCTGGCCGCGGGTCCGAGCAAGTAAGCATATACCATCAAAGCGCCGAAAGGGGCACTTTCCAGAGGAGGGCCCGTTGAGACAGCGGTGGCTGGCCTTCGGGTTGGGGGGGTCTCGTCGCCACGGCTGGGCGCAGCTCGGAAAACTGGTGCGTCTGGACCCTGGGAGGCGGTCTGGGGACCGATTCAGAGTGGCCTTGGCATCGCTCGGACGTGTGCATTTTTCCTTCGGCGAGGGCCATCGAGGAGCATCCTTGATCATTTCGCGAAGAAACCACGCACAAAACCGAAACAAAAACATAGGAAGT